TAAAAAAATGAAAAGAGTCGAGCCATGATTCTACTCTTCTTGTAGTTTCCCTTAATCGGTACAAAACTATATTTTTCATATCTCTCTCAAACTTTCCAAAGGCACACCTTTAAGATAAATTTCTGAGTCTAATATCTATTATTTAGCATGTTTTCATCACACAAAAGAAATGAAGAAAAATTTCCCTTAGTGGATCCCTCTTCTCACAAATCCTCTTGTTTTTGAGTATTGTGCATTAAAAATCTGTTTTTACAGCCAACTTTCAAAAATTCTATAACAATGTAGAAAAATATTCTGAACCTCATTTTTATGCCAAAATCTTCCTTAAGAAGTTAGTTTTCAATGAAAATTGGTTTCATTGAAAACGAGTGAGCGATTTGTGAGAAACTCCAATTTTTGTAACGGTCGACGAATCTGGACAGCGCTGGAGTGTTTCTTAAATTACTAGAAATTTAGAAAAGCTATCACATTTCCGAAACATGTTCTGAAAACTTGATTAAATTCTCTACGAACCATAGGAAGGTCAAGTTCGGTAAAAATCTAAAATAGTCCTTTTGATTTTAATCTTTAAAGGGTACTGAATCTGGAAATTTAGTTTTGCATGGGTGTTTTATGCTCTTGTGTACATGAATATGCTTATTAGTACATGATCATTTCTTGGTATGATATTGAATGTGTTATGGTTATGTTCCTTTTCTTCTTCAATGGATCATGCTCATGCTTATGTGGATATTATTATCTGGTTAAGTTGATCTAACTTTGATTTAAGACATTTAACTCAATGGGAAACTTCATTGGGGTGGTATTGGGTTTTCAATTACTTGAATATTGAAGAAATGATAATGTGTTATGTATGGATTGATGGGATGTGCTCCCTAATTGAAGTTTAAGTCTTGTGAAAGCAGTCGTCGTGTAAACCCTAGAATGGAACGGACGTATTCGGACTCTTTGCGATGGTTTGATTGGTGAGATAAGGTTGGGTCTGGATGAGACATTCAGGAGGATAAAACTTTTTTGGAAGGATAAGGTTGGATTCAGGAGATAAAACCTTTTTCTTTTCGTTGTCCCTTTTGAGGCCCTGCGGGTGGCGCTACGCAGTATATAACCGTTGGTAGGCATCCGAGGTTAGTTCTGCAACAAAGCAGCAAAAGGGGGAGTTCCGAATAGTCCGGTGTCCAATTCTTGTGGTTGGGAGGATGAAATCTCTTTGGGGGATTTCTAGAATACTAACCACTAACATTATAACCTTTGTTATCTACTTGAATGACATGTTCCTTTCCTCTATTATTGAAATTGCTGTTATTGACTTGAATATCATGCTTCACTACTTGCTTGCTATAAATATGATGGTGTATTGGATTGGAAAAAAGGGACGGGGTGTGTGTGCGTTTACTGGGTATTCAAAACTCATGGTGTTTCGTGCCAGGTATTGAAGACTAGTAGACCAGTCTAAGGCAAGGCTGAAGTATTTGAGGACGTATGGCTATCCTATGAGAGTTAGGGGCTAGTTATGTTAAACATGTTTGAGATTGTAAGTGATAGATCCCATGTTGTATTTAAGACATGATTTGTAATATATATACATATATATAACATTTGTAACCTATCCTTGTACCCTGTTAACTCATGTAGGCCTTGTGTTAATACCTTGTCAAGATCTGTCAAAAGAGTAGCTTTACTATCTAAGGTAGTTGGACTTTGAAGGAAGGCTATTTTGACTCCTCCGACCTTCCTGGGATCTTGCTTGGTTATTAGCCAAAGGACTCATTAGTGACATTT